AAAATTTGATATTTACATTGAAGGCTTTTAGAATACTGATGTCATCCTTGTTGGATGTGTAACCAACTTTGGGTGTCTGCTGCTATTTGTATTGCTGTAAACTATTATTTTAACATGTTATGGCCGCTGAATTTCCCTTTGGCTTGCAGCAAGTTCCCGATGAGATTGAAAGAGTGTTAGTTGGGATACAAGCTTATTTGAGCATCCGAAAGAATTCTTCCACATCTGGGTTAAACTTTTTTCACAACGGAGAATTTGAAAGCAGCCTTGCAGAGAAGGTTTGTGTTTAGTGTTTAGTTCTTGAAGTTGTTGTATTTGCTTTGTGTTAGCTGCCCCTTTGATTTTGTCTCGGTAGATGTCTTGGCAGATGTATAAATAAGATGCATGGATGTGACGTTACGTTTCTGCTTTTCTATATTTGTTCGAGATAGATATCTGTTGAATTTTGTATCATGGTGTAGTAACTTTTGGTCTGCCTCATTCGTCTTTCTCGTTGGTGGTCTCTTTAGGATTTCGTGGAGGATCTATTGGATCGAATACAGTCTCTGGCTTCCAATGGATGGAAACTTGATAGTGGTATGCATATTTTGTCAACTTCTCATCTCTGATGGTATTACAAAGACTGCAATCTTCTACGAACCCTCTCTTTTATTATCCTTATCTACCTTGTTTCGCTTTACGAATTGATCAGTTCATATGACTAGAGATGTTAGTTGTATATTACTATTAACGAAAATTTCATGCATATTCAATGTTCTAGTTCCTAGGCCTCATCTCTCTTTCGAAGCTCAACTCGTTGCTGGAAAGTTTCATGAGCTAGGCCCCATTAAATGTATGGAACAACCGAGTCCACCTTCTGATCATTCGAGAGCATACAGTGGCAAGCAAAAGCATGATGCTCTGACGAGATATCCCCAGAGAATTCGTAGGTTGAATATCTTTCCAGCTAATAAAATGGAGGTAATTTTCTGGTTTTTGATGTCAATGTTTATCTGAATAAGACATATATCATGCTGGTGGAAGTTAATTATACTTGCTACCATTTCAGTCATCGACATTTGTCTTTTTCTCTAGCTTATTATAGTTGTAGATTAATATATGGGTTATATGATGTCCATTTCTATTCCTTTCTCTTTGTCTACCCTTTCTTCTGATTCTGTAACTATTAACCTCACAGGATGTACAACCTATCGATCGCTTTGTCGTGGAGGAGTATTTGCTGGATGTGCTCTTCTATTTAAATGGATGGTTTGTGTTTCCCCAAAACTTGAGTGCTTTTGACGTTTTCTATGTTTCTTCTATATTTTTCTTGCACAGTGGACTGTCGTCCATGCATGCTGGTTTTAGTTTAGATCTTGGTTTCCGCTCCCCCACCCCACCCCCCGCTAAGTTGAAGACTAATTTGCTACTACTATGGGCAAGTGTTTTTGTGTTGAATATCTAGTTGAACCTTTTTTATGTCATTATTATGGTTCTGGAATTGCCTACCATATACTTGTTTTCTAATCTACATCTTAGCTTATGCTGAATTTCTTTCCTTCTGTTACTAAATTTTGTTTGCTTACTTAATTATATAGAATTTTGTTTCACTAATTAATTTATTGCAAAGCTAGTCGGAAGGAGTGTGCGTCCTACATGGCTAATCTTCCTGTTCCTTTTCGGTATGAGTATCTTATGGCAGAGACACTATTTTCTCAGGTAACTTCTGCTGTTTAATCTCTCTAGTGAGTACTCACATTGTATATGAAATCATACTTTTTTCTGGCAGATTATACCAATTAATTCCAGGAAAGTTTTTCTTAGAGCTGTGGTTTTAAGATATAACAATTGGATCTGCTGTTTTTCAGATACTGCTGCTACCACAACCACCATTCAAGACTCTTTATTATACACTCGTAATTATGGATCTTTGTAAGGTAGTAACAACGAATTAATCTGTTCATTCAATGTTTTTTATATCTCTGGTCTCATTTCTTTCTTCTACCTGATTCGAAATATTTAATTATTTTAGGCTCTTCCGGGTGCCTTTCCTGCTGTTGTTGCTGGTGCTGTTCGTGCTCTATTTGAGAAAATTTCCGACTTAGACATGGAATCCAGGACACGTCTTATCCTCTGGTTTTCTCACCACTTGTAAGTATATAATTTCATTTTCTTACCTCTGGATGTTTTTGTGATCTGGAAAAGGTGCTTTATTGTCGAATATTTGGTGGATGTTCCATATATGATAGAAAATTACCTAGCTTATCAGCTTTACTTTGGTCAAGTTCACATGATTGAATTAATGAAACATGAAATATGGATTCTCAGTCGGCATTACTTTTCTTACTGATGATCCGTTTACGTGATACAATGGTTGTGTTTGAGTCTTGATTTGTCGATGAATTGAGAAACCTGTTATCATCACATGAAGTTGATTACGTATTTCTTTTTGTTCTCTACTCTCATGTTTATAACTTCCATGCTTAACAGGTCCAACTTCCAATTCATCTGGCCGTGGGAAGAGTGGGCTTATGTGTTGGACCTTCCCAAGTGGGCCCCTAAGCGTGTATTTGTTCAGGAGATTTTGCAAAGAGAAGTACGCTTGTCTTACTGGGATAAAATTAAGCAGGTAACAGATCACCTGCTGAACATGATTTTTTGTTATGATATATACTGTTATATTTTGGCCTCGACCTATTTTACCGGTGTGGGTGATAACACAATATGGAACTAGATTTTTTGTGGACGGAAATGATTGTCAATGTTCCTCATTTAGGTTAGGTGAGAAATTTGCAATTTTGAATGGTTCTACTGAACTGGATAAAGTAAGGTCTTATTGGCTAGGGAGTTTAGTACTGTATTGGTCCTAGTCAGAACACCGAAATAATATTTTAAAGTTGTGTCCACACTCTTTTGTCTAGCTGGAAGAAAAGCACTAATTAGCTCTTAAATTAGAAGAAATATCCTCAGGCTATTAGAAGCTGCCAAACTAAAACATCAGATATCCTTTCTCTTAGTCTAGGGGCATTTATCTTATACCTGTCTGTGGGGGAACAATGTTTCATCTTCTTATCCACATTAATATATTTTTCCAAATATAAGCAGTTAAGCATCACATATCCTTTCTCAGGCTATATTGTTTTTTTCTGTGTGTCTAACAGAGCATTGAGAATGCGAGCACCCTAGAAGAATTGCTTCCTCCAAAGGCTGGTCCGAATTTTATATATTCCTTGGAAGAGGGTAAAGAGAAAACAGAAGAACAGCAATTGTCAGCCGAATTGAGCAGGAAGGTCAAGGAAAAACAAACTGCACGTGACATGATGGTGTGGATTGAGGAGACGGTATATCCAGTTCATGGTTTTGAAGTCACTCTTACAATAGTTGTACAGACCTTACTTGACATCGGATCAAAAAGTTTCACTCATTTGGTCACAGTCCTGGAGCGATATGGCCAAGTATTTTCAAAACTTTGTCCTGATACTGATAAGCAGGTGATGCTATTATCTCAAGTGAGTACATACTGGAAAAACAATGTACAAATGACGGCGGTGGCAATCGATAGGATGATGGGTTATAGACTAGTATCTAATCAGGCAATTGTTAGATGGGTGTTCTCTCCAGAAAATGTTGATCAATTCCATGTGTCTGATCAGCCATGGGAGGTCAGTTTCGTTCTATCTCATTCGTTGTCATCCTCGAAAGAAATATATTTATTATCTACTTTTCGCACAGCAAGTTTGTTTATATTTTGATATTTATTTCTTTCTCTGCAGATACTTGGCAATGCTCTTAACAAGACTTATAACCGTATCTCTGATTTGAGGAAAGATATATCAAACATTACAAAAAATGTTTTGGTTGCTGAGAAAGCTTCAGCCAATGCACGAGTAGAGTTGGAGGCTGCTGAGAGCAAACTTTCCCTAGTGGAGGGTGAGCCCGTTCTTGGTGAGAATCCAGCGAAGATGAAGCGTTTAAAATCAACAGTGGAGAAGACAGGAGAAGCGGAGTTATCTCTTCGTGAGTCCCTAGAGGCAAAAGAGGCTCTTCTTAACAGAGCTCTCTCTGAGACCGAGGTATTATATATTAGTTTAATACAGCAGATGATCTTACTATTTCCTTTTATTTACTAGAAGCTAATTTAGTTGCCTTGTGCATAGGTTCTACTGCTCTTGCTGTTCCAAAGTTTCTTAGGTGTATTGAAGGAACGTCTCCCAGATCCAACAAAAGTGAGATCAGTGCAGGATCTCAAATCTATAGGAGCGGAAGATGACAAGTCATCTGCGATGGACGTGGACAGCGAGAATGGAAACCCAAAGAAGAGTTGCGAAGTCGGTGAGAGAGAACAGTGGTGCTTATCAACACTTGGCTATCTCACGGCATTTACAAGGCAATATGCGAGCGAGGTAAAAATAACTTAAGAGTTGGGATGTTGTTGTAAGAGCTTTTGTAGATTGAGTCTTGACTTGTTTCTCCATGTTCTCTAGATATGGCCTCACATGGAGAAGTTGGAGTCGGAGGTGTTCTCGGGTGAAGATGTGCATCCTCTCTTTCTTCAAGCCATATCTTCTGCGCTTCAATTCCCATTACAATAATCCTCTTTCAATCTCAAACTAGTCTCTTTTGTTTTTGTTATGAGATTCTGATTTTGACATTCAAGTTTATTAGGAAATCGAAAAGAATCATAAAACAAGAGTTTAAACTTTAAATAGCAGTCTTGTTTCTGAACCTCTTCTCTCAGACTCGCCGATGAAAAATTCAAAAACATTTTTATTTATCCAAAAGGGAACAACTTCATGTTCCGATTTAAGCACAATCGAGCAACGTGGTCTTGGTGAAAGTAACATAAGACATATATAAAAAATATAAATAATAAAATTATTTGGGTTTTTGTCTATGTAAAATTGAACAACATTCCATAAAAATATGAATAATAAAATTAATTTGTTGTATTAAATTTATTATTAAGAAGTTGAAGACAGTACATCGTTTAAAATATGAGAAGAGAGAAACATAATGCTCAAGTAACCAGCTACTAGAAAGAATATCAAATTTGTTTATTGTAGTAGCAACAACATTGTGGTAAACTTTCACCTTTTGTAACAAAATCACACTGTCCTCCATCATACTTCACCTTTCTACAGTTTTCGTAACATTGCTGATTTCCGTAAAATCTCGAACATGCCCCAGTGCAACGATCATATTGCTGGATCACTGCAATTATACAACCAGGGGCGGAGCCAATTAAGAGGGAGGGGGTCAGTTGACCCCATAACATTTTAAAGTTTTGAAATTATAAGGTAAATTATCTAATGATTTTAGATATTTTGGTACAAAATTTCTTAGTTGACCCCTATGTCATGCCATAATTTTATGTCTTTGACCCCATTCATATTTAATTTTTCATTCAACATTAATTTTCTTTCTATGTTTGTTTTGTTTTTTCCTAAAAAATGATTACAATTCTCTAATAGTTTTTTTACATATTGATTTTTTTTCTTTGTATCATCGGATATCTTTTTTTTTTTGTCCTTTTTCACAAAATTGTTTTGACATATATTTCTATAAAATATCATAAATCAAGATAAATATATTATTTAATATTAATATGTAATTAAATAAAAATAATAATATATATGACCCCTATAAACAAAAATCCTGGCTCCGCCACTGTATACAACCCAAGTTATATATATATATATATGTGTGTTTATGTAAGACATTCGATGAAAATATTTTTTATAATGTATGAAAAGAAAATGTTAAATCCATTGCTCTTCAAATGATCAAAGATAATTGAGTAATAAGAATTTACCTGGCATTGCCAAAATGTTGTAGTTACAAACCGATATTGTCAATATTGCTACAAGGAGAATAGTCACATAAGCTTTTGTGGTATCCATTATGTTTTCTTGACTACTAATGCTCTTGAGAAAAATATAGTTTTTCAGACTTTTATGAAACCTCTATACTTGGGAAATCGGAATTAAATATACGGCCCTGAATTTACGTACTTACCTTTTTTTTTCGCCACGTACTTACCATAACTACTCGATATCTAATAAAATAAATATTCGAAATTTAATTTCATATCTCATATATTATTTTTTTTTGTCGGCCAACTTATCCATTCATTAGATAGGGTAATAGAGTACATCAACACAGTTGTTTAGGTAACCCAGGATACAACAAAAGGAGATTTCATAACCCTAGCTTCTCTAGCTAACTTATCAGCCATAGCATTTATCTCACGAGGGATATATTTAAAATGGTACATGCCTTTGTTTATCAGCAGAATATCCTCTAGGTAGTTTTGAATCTCCAAGTTTCCTGGTGGTGGTTGATCTTGTTGCATAGCTGTCTCCAAATAAGTATATAGGATTTTGGAGTCTCCACAGAAGGTGACATCGCAATAGTTAAGGCGTTTAATTTGGAGGATAGCCTCTCTTAGTGCTAATGCTTCCGTTTCCAAGGCAGAGCTAGTAGGCTCTATCGAAGAGGAGCCCTTAATGAGACATTGTCTCTCTGTATTGTATAGTGCCCATCCAATGCCAGCTTTGCTAGTAGGGTCAATCCATGAGCCATCTACACAACAGTATAAAGATGTATTAGTGACAAGCATCTGTTGATTATGATGGGGAACTGATTGGCCATCTTTTATAGACTGCTGAGATTGTGAAGAAGGATATTCTGAGGCTTTCTTCCATAGTCGCCAATCCATCAGAGCTTGATTTATAATATTAGGAATGGCACATCTTTTATTTTCATAAAGAAGTGCATTCCTAGCTTTCCAAATCCGCCAACCAATAAATGGGAATAATGGTTCCTTAGAGTTATCTTGATTTGCAGAAGAAAGCAGGTCCTGGATAATATTAATAGTTGAAGTCTTCTGCAAAAACTGACCTGGTGGTATTGAAGGGGGTGATAGTTCTCAGATTTCTCTAACGACCCGACATTGGAAGAAGATGTGTATAGTTGATTCTTCAGCTTCACCACAAAAGGGACAGTCGGTCAACACTTTCATCCGCCTATGAGAGATATTAGCTGATTTCACTGAGTACTGTCCATCCTTGGTGAATATCCATGTTGGAACATCCGGTGTTTTGACAATACGAGGCCTGATCCTTTTAATTAGCTGGATATCTTCAGGGCAAACCAGTTCCTGCAATTTTGCATCAAATAAACAAATAGCAACAAAATATGACGAATAACAATAAGCTTCTTTTTTCCTAAAATATCAAAATCATCTCTATATTATTAAAAGAGAAGTACAAATGAAAATGGGTCGGGTTAAAATCAGAAAATTGACCTGAAATTCTGAAATCGGATCTTTAAATTTTTTTGGAGTATAAATTCAAATTAATAATGAAAAATCGAATGAAAAATGAATTATTTATGGAAATCAAATAAAATCTGATTGTACTTATGACAACTAATTATAAAAGCATATTCCGAACAATATTATACATTAATTACGTATAATAAATTTGTTCATATATTTTGGAACTAATTCGATAACAATTAACGTTTTTATCATTAATTTCGCTCATTTTAGTCAATTATCATTAATTGAAAGATATCTTACTTGCTTCTAAAGATTTCTAGAAAATTTATCACACATAAGTAATACCCCATTTGTTTTATAAATTAAATATATATTTTTATTTTGGTCGTGTACATTAAATAGATATAAAATCCATGTAACTAATTTTAATTTAATTAGATTAAATCGAAATTATGGTATTTTCATACCTATAGCTTACCAAAAAAGTTTAATTTTCAATTTATAAAGATTTATTGAATATGATTTTAGAATTATTCAACAAGATGATAAGTATTTATTAAATTTTGTGAATCATGAAAAATAATAACTAATTTTTAATCATTATATTTCATCTTTCAATCTCTCATCTAACAAATAAGATACATATTCTATTATTCCTATGTCCAAACTTCATTTTGTTGTATGACTAAATAATATTCCCATTAGAGCTGTCAAAGCGAGTTGATTCGTCCCGTTAAGCCCGTTTACGATAGGCAAAAAATATTTTGACTTGTAGTTGTCGGTCCGCACGATCCGCGGGTAGCATATATGAAATACAAATCCATCCCACGAATGTATGCGGATTTGCGGGATTGTCCGTGGATTTTGTTTAAATAGTTTTAAAGTAACCAAAATTTAAAATACTACTAAAATAAATAAATAAATAAAAATACTATTATAGTTTGTTTAAATTACCACATGTTGAATAAATTATAATTTTATCCACAAATACTAACATGCGGGCTGATCCACCAATCCGCGGATGAAAACCGATTAAACCTATGACCCACTGCGAATTAATCCATGTGGCCCGCTTATTTGCGTGTTTAATATATTTTCCCAAATCTACCCCATAGTAAGATGATTTGGGCTCGACCCGCGGTTTTTGACCTATTTTGACTGCTCTAATTCCTATGAATCGTCTAATTTTAGAATTTTAAAACACAGAATTCTATTTTGTAAATCATAATTAATATGATGGGTTTATTTATAAAAAATTTAACATTTTCTCTACAATTCGTTATTATGAATATTTATAAGTATACTACACGATTCGCTCTACTAAAAACACACAATATTAAACTCAACGTATGTAAACCAATATTCCCCCGCGGTAGACCGCGGGTCCGATCCTAGTTAACTATAAAACACTCATATCTTTTAACCACGTACGTCATTCAAACTTTGTCACTACTTCAAATATTTAATGATAATTTCTTATTCTTAATCAAATGACACTTTAGGTATCTTAACAAAATACATCTAAATCCAACTTTTTGGCAATTCGAATATATCTATATTAGTAATTAGGAAACATTAAAATAAATCGCAGATTTTGTAATTAAAGAAATAAACATTAATTTATTTTTAAACAAAGTTTTTATTTTAAGATATTTAAATGGTAATATTTTGCAACATAAATTCTGAATATTTTTTTTTTTTTGGTAAGGACATAAATTCTGAATATTATGGGAATAAAAAAAAAGTATTTTTACAAAACAAACATTAAAAATTTAAAATGATCAACCACATTGCTCAACACATTGAGCTTCCTAATCCGAAACCGGCGTCATCACAAGTCTGCGATATCCCCAATCTCTTGATTGTGAATATCCAGCTTCCAATGTATCCAACCTCTATGTTGGTGACTATGATGGTGAAGGACTTAGCTTAGTCTTGTACTTCAAACGCAATGAGAATTATCACAAAGAAATCTCATTTCACTCTAAAGAAACCATCAAGATATGATGATGATAGATCTTATAGCTAGCTCTTTTTAAAAAACTTGTTATGTTTCTGTTAGATTATAATTGAGTTTGGTCTATATTATTTAATTATACAAGTAATTATGTATGTTAAGTCAAAGTGTGTGTGTTGTTAAGTCTTAAGTAGTTACGGTTGTTGTGTCATAAGAAAGAAGAGTTACAACTCTTGTCTTTCATGTCTGTTGGATTCTATTTAAGTTCCTTGTTGTAAACCTTAAACTACAGTCGTTGTTTTTCACTTTTAATTATCTAATAAAGAGAGAAGTTCTTTTCTTCATTGTTTTGTTCACGATCAAATAGATTGTGATACAAAGTCTGATTCTCTCTCTGTTATACTCTGTTCTGTCTTGGAGACTTCAGTTTCTAACAGTTTCTGTATAGAGAGATGTTTAAAGATTTGGTTCTTGGAGAGATTTATGGATGATGAAATGGAGAAAGTCAAAGGATTCACAAGAGAATCAACAGTTCCGTTCAGAGAGAGGTTAAAGATTATGGCAGGTTTGGTAAATCCTGAGGATCTTCAGCTAAGTTCTACTGAGAGAAAACTTATCACAGCTTACAACGATAGACCGGTTCTTTCTCGTCCGCAACGCCAACACGAGGTTAGATTACAGATCTTTCTTTAGTTTTCATAACTGATATTTCATATTCAGAGCTTTGTGGTTAATGTTATTGATCATTTGTACAGGGACCAAACTAATTTGAGATCGATTTGGATATACACAGATTCAGTTACATATCGAGGAGAGGACTGGAATCTTTCAGGGATCGTATCAAGAATGGGATTCTTGATCTGGGTTTAACTATTCAGGTACTTGAAATAATCTCTAAAACTTTTGGTGGGTAGTAGGTCGTTTTTGGTAGAGTGTAACTCAAGTAAAACTTTTTGTAAAGAGCTGGGATGTTGTTGTAAGAGCTTTTGTAGATTGAGTCTTGACTTGTTTCTCCATGTTCTCTAGATATGGCCTCACATGGAGAAGTTGGAGTCGGAGGTGTTCTCTTTCAATCTCAAACTAGTCTCTTTTGTTTTTGTTATGAGATTCTATTTTTGACATTCAAGTTATTAGGAAATCGGAAAGAATCATAAAACAAGAGTTTAAACTATAAACAGCACAGTCTTGTTTCTGAAGCTCGTCTCTCTGACTCGCCGAAGAAAAAATCAAAAACATTTTATCCAAAAGGGAACAACTTCATGTTCCGATTTAAGCACAATCGAGCAACGTGGTCTTGGTGAAGGAACATAAGACATATATAAACACCCTAATACCGTAAAATACCGATCAATTAATAAATAATATAATTATTTGGCTTTTTGTCTATGTAAAAATAAAAAAAAAAAATCGATAAAAATATGCCTAATAATATTAATTTATTGTATTAAATTTATTATTAAGAAGTTGAAGACAATACATTGTTTAAATAATGGGAAGAGAAAAATATAATTCTCAAGTAGCCAATTACTAGAAAGAGTATCAATTTTTGTAGAAAGAACAACAACATTCTGGTAATTTTTCACCTTTTGTAACAAAATCACACTGTCCTCCGTCATACTTCAGGTTTCTACAGTTTTTGTAACATTGCATATTTCCATAAAATCTCGAACATGCCCCAATGCAACGATCATATTGCTGGATCACTGCAATTATACAACCCAAGGTATATATATATATGTGTTTCTGTTAGACATTCGATGAAAATATTTTTGTAATTTATGAAAAGAAAATGTTTAAACCATTGCTCTTCTAATGATCTAAGATAATCTGTACTAGTATTTTTGCAGTCACTTTTGAGTCAGGTAAAATTGTTCTCGGATACTTTGGATACCCGACCCGTTTACAAATTTTGATCATAAAAAGTTTATTGGGTTGGGTTATATTTAACCCAACTCATACACCGGATATTCCATATTTAATAATTTAGAAGATTTGACTAAGATTTAGAATTATGATTCTTCTATCATATTTGTTTGATTTGTTTTTAATTGTTTTGAATCATCATATAATACATAAAGTAAAAAAAAAATTAATTTTTTGGCTGCATATACAGTGATTCGAAATTTAAAAAACGGACATATATTATCCAATTGACGGAAATGTGTGTTAAACGTTTGACATCGATTGAAATATTTAAACAATGATTCAGAATCATATCATAAATAAGATCAACATTAATAAAATAAATGAGTTTTTTTGCCAGACGGGTTTGGCGGGACGGGTTTTTGAATCAACAATAATAAAAAGATTAAAATATCATTAATCCGACGCTTCAATACGGATTAAATCCTTAATTTTTTTTAATACCACCAATATTAGACATATTAAATGAATCTCATTTAGAAAAGATTGTATAAAACCAAAAATTGTCCTGTGGTATAATGTTACTTAATAACAATTGTAAACTATAAAATATAACTATCTTAGAAAATTATACAATTTGCAAACTTTTATATATAATAAATAATCGTTAAATTTTAAAAATTACTACTTTTAGAAAACAAATCACGGGACGAGTTAAGAAGTTATAGGACGGGTTATATTTTGGAACGAAGTTATATGGTGGACGAGTTTGAATCAATATTTATAAAATTTTAAAATATCATTAACATGCCGCTTTAATATAGATTATATCTTTAGTTTATTAAAATATAAATGACTTAGAGAATGATATGATTTGTAAACTTTTATATATAATAAATAATTATTAAATTTTATAATAAAAACAAATCAAGGGATGGGTTAAGAAATTAAGGAACGGGTTATATTTCGGAACGGGTTTAGATGGCGGACGAATTTGAATCAATATTTATAAATATCATTAACATGCCGCTTTAATACGGGTTAAATCTTCAGTTTATTAATAATTGTCTCCTGGACTCGTGGTATACCGTTACTTAATAACAATTATAAATTATAATATAAATAAATATTTTATAAGGAGATATAATATACAAGATATTTTTATACTAACTTTAAAAATAAATCATCCCGCGGTGTACCGCGGGTTAAAATCTAGTTGAATAATTAAAACCTACCTGGTGTTGCCATACTGTTGTAGTTACAAACCGAAATTGTCAATACTGCTACAAGGAAAATAGTCACATAAGTTTTTGTGATACCCATTATATTTTATATTTTTTTGACTACTAATTCTCTTGAGAAAAAATAGTTTTTTTTCAGATCTTTATGAAAACCTCTATTTATATGTTATTTTTGGAGAAAAACACAAATTTGAACTAATCTTTCATTTTTATTATTACTATAAATGGATATTATATATTTGTTAATATGAGGTTGACTAAAATTTAATATGGAGGCTTGACTAAAACTTATCATCTAACTTAATTATAAAATTGACTAGTATTGTACTAAATTGAATAGATGACTCTAAGCATGTGTGAAAAAAAAAAAATCAAGTTGTTTTTATATACTTGAAATTCAAAATTGAGTTGAATATTTCAATCTCGAATTAAATGTATAATTATTTATTTTACAGTTTCCAAATTATAACAAAAGTTGAATAATCTTTTTGACATATAACATTAAGACTATAATCTTATCAATTATATGTTAAAACGAGTTGAGATTAGTATTCACAGATTTGTGCATCACATCACACAACTGCTACTTGTAAGCTGCTAAATTTGAGGACACTAAAATTATATATTTTTCATATATTTATTATGGTTTTATGTATTCATAAGTTACTCTTCTACTAACGGATAATTTGGCACGAAAAGTTCGTACTAAACCGCATAACATTATGTAAACAACATTCTTCATGAATGACTCTTTTGAACTCTAATTAAAAGTTATTGACAAAAAAAATAAAAAAGTTACTCTTATACTTGTATGAGGGTAAAAATAACCAAGCAAGTCATGCGTTAGATAAAAGTAGTGAACATTTCAAATGAAAATATGAGCAGTTAATACGGTATATACATATTGAAATCTCTAAGTTTTATAAATACATATATATGTCTTCCAAATTTTGTATATAATTGAGTTACGGTATATGTTTGTAATTGTAATCTTATATGTTTATTTTGATTGGTCATTCTTTTTAAAGAAATTAATAATAGATTTTCGTTTTTATAATTAAATTAAATTAATTAAATTGTATAAAATAGTATTTGACTTGTTTATCCTTAATAAGTTGAATTAATTTACTCTATAAAATTTTATTTCTAATGGCATTCTTAAGTAAATTCTTACAAAGAGGAAGGTTAATTAAGGGTAATTGTAAATTATACTCCCCAAATAATAGTATATTATGTTTAATAAATAAATTTACTTTGAGAGGAAAAAAATTAATCTATATCAAAAAAATGCGAAAAAAAAAAATGTCCATGTTCTAGAAGGCCCATGTCTACCTTCTAGAAGACTCGTCCAATGACGGTTTATGTTAGTCTTAGTGGGCTTTGGGCTTTAGGGTTTCCTAATCCAATTGGGATTTGTCTCCCTTATTGTGTATATATATAAGTTGTAACCTCATTCATTAATCAATAAGAATACACGAGATTCATAACACGTTATCAGCACGATAGCTTCTAAATCTCTTAGCTAAAGATCTGACACATAAACCCTAATCTCACGATCTCTCTATCTCCATCAAACCCCTAAAACGCAAAGAAATCTGCCTCGGAACTTCAAAGAGGTCGTTCTCTCAAATCGTGAGGACCCAGAAAACGAGCAAGATATCAAATCGAAGCCCTCGCCGAGACGAATCCATCAGTGCAAACGGCTTGTCGATCTGACCACCGACGCGCCATCACGCACAGATACAGTGTGCGCCGATTTGTTTTGAAAACCCTAGCTCGTCCGTCCGTTTGCTTTCTCCTTTGCTCGGCGATTCCTTCCAAGGACCATACGCTCGTGACAAGTTGATAACCGAGGTCTTTAGCTCCCGGTTCTAGTCCATACAACCCCAAAGGTGAAAGGTAAAACAACAAACCCTAAAGCTAAAGAACCCAACTCGAATTTGGATCTAACAAACGGCTAAGACCTAAAACGAACCTTGATTGTCTAAGCGATTGCTATTGCTTGTGAGATCCGATTGTTTGACTCGTTTAGGTTGCTAGAAAAGTTGATTATTGCTTAAGCTAAACTCGCCTAAGTTGCTAGAGAAGTTTTATTGCCAAAACCTAAAAATCGCAAATCGAAAATACCTAAGCTAATGGCCGAAACTTTATAAGTCTTAAAACCCTAAAATCCTAATAGGAAATCTTAAAACCCTAAAATCCTAATAGGAAATCTTAAAACCCTAAAATTCTAATTAAGATAGGAAAACCTTAAGAAATAGAAAATTTTCAAATCCTAAATAAAATAGAAAATCTTAAAATCTAAAATCATAAGTGAAATAGGAAAATTAATCCTAGAGTAAAGAGGAAAGTAAATCATAAAAGGAAAAGAAAAAGTTAATCCTAATTAAAAGAGGAAATCTAATCCTAAGCAAAAGAGGAAATCTAATCCTAAGCAAAAGAGGAAAGTCAAATCCCTAAGTAAATCGATTCATGGTTCGGTCTCAAATACCGCATGACACTAACGATTACATGATTTTGACTCAAGACTTTTCCTTGTAGATGTTGAATTACAACTTGTATTTTACTGCCCTAAATCTCTTAGGAGATAATTATTTAAAATGGGCAATGGATACTAAGATTATCCTAAAAGTCAAAAGGACTTGGTGAATGTATCTAATAAGGCAATAATGCAAAGAGAGAAAGATAGATACAAGGCAATATTAGCCACCGTCTTATTGAGAGTCTCATAATCAGGACTATAAGTCCATGGATGAGTCTATTGCTAGATGAGCAAAATAATGACTTACAGATAAAAACAGTGAGTTACGACCTCATAGATTAACCCTATTACCTAATGCCAATAAGGCCGCAGAGGATAAGAAAGAATCCAAAGAATATAACCATGTCTAAAGTGATAGACCACACGGTCGTGACCGTGGTGGATGGAAAGGACGTGGTTGTGGCCACTATAACTCATCCGGCCGTGGGAACCACTATAACCGTGGATGTAGACCCAATTCCGGCCGTGGTCGAGGGCGAGGATGATGTGGTATTTCCAAACCACAACACTCGACCAAATGAGTATGCCATAGATGTGGTATTGAAAGGACGTGGTTGTGGCCACTATAACTCATCCGGCCGTGGGAACCACTTTAACCGTGGATGTAGACCCAATTCCGGCCGTGGTCGAGGGCGAGGACGATGTGGTATTTCCAAACCACAACACTCGACCAAATGAGTATGCCATAGATATGGAATGGGAAACCATTGGGCTAAGATATGTAGGACTTCCAAACATCGTTGTGACCTCTATCAAGAGAGTGTAAAAGGGAAGAATCCTAAAGCCCATTTGGTATATAAAGATGGTGAACATGATCAAGATGATCTAATAGAGTATGAGACTTCTGATTGCCTAAAAGAATCAAGTTGATAAATCTGAGTTCGACATCAAAACCTCTATGTTTTCTTTGCATTTTATGTTTTCATTGATTGTTATTTCCTTGAATTTATTTTATATTATTTTATGTTTAAAACATGATTCTTGTCCATATAAGAAATGGCCGAGGACAAGAACATATTTGTGGTGGATAGTAGAGCCACACAAAAGATAAGAGATATTTTCCTAAATCTCATAATGAAAAAATGCCAATATTAGGACTATAGCGGGTATAGCAAATCTTATTGAGGGCTACGGCCAAGCCCATATTCTATTACCAAATGGCACGCATCTTGAACTAAGCGATGCCCTATATTCACCCAGCTCGAAGAGGAGCTTATTAAGTTTCAAAGATATAAGATTGAATGGTTTCCATATTGAAACAAAGGGTGAAGGGAACAAAGAGATCACCCAAGGACATAAGAAAGTCCTAGAGACTATACCCGCATTATCCACTGGTCTCTACTATGTTAAAATCGATATGATCGAAGCTAATATGGCAATGAACAAAGAGTTCATCGAGAAATTCACTTTATGGCATGACCGGCTTGGCCATCCGGGTCATAGTATGATGCGTAAGCTTATGATAAATTCAAAGGGGCACACCCTAAAAGAGAAAAGAGTTATCTCTAAGAATCTCACGTGTGAAGCATGTTCACAAGGGAAACTCATTATAAGGCCATCACCGGCTAAGGTAAATAAAGAGACCTTAAAATTTCTGGAAAGGATACAAGGAGATATATGTATGGTCCTCATTGATGCATCGACAAGATGGTCGCATGTTTGTCTCCTATCTACTAGAAACCAAGTGTTTGCTAGGTTATTGGCCCAGATAATAAGACTGCGAGCCCACTTTCCAGATTTTCCGCTTAAGACTATACGTCTAGACAATGCCGGTGAATTCATGTCCCAAGCGTTTAATGACTACTGTATGTCCATGGGGGTAAGTGTGGAACATCCCGTAGCACATGTACATACACAGAATGGATTAGCGGAATCCTTCATTAAACGAATTCAGTTGATCGTTCGACCATTACTCATGAGGTCGAAGCTTCCAGTAGCCGCTTGGGGACACACTGTTTTACATGCATCAGAGCTTATACGCATAAGGCCATCTAGTGAACATAAATATTCACCATCCCAGTTACTCATGGGTCATGAGCCAGACATATCCCATCTAAAGACTTTCGGGTGTGCCGTATATGTACCGATTGCTCCACCACATAGAACAAAGATGGGACCTCAAAGGAGGATGGGAATATATGTTGGATTTGATTCTCCCACCATTATTAAGTATCTAGAGCCAACTACGGGTGATCTATTTAAGGCTAGATACGCAGATTGTCATTTGAATGAATCCGAATTTCCTATTATAGGTGGAGAGACGAACAAGCTGGGTAAAGCAATAAAAGAAATATAATGGAATCAAACATCCTTAAATTGGCAAGATCCTCGGACTCTGGCATGAGAATCAGAGGTCCATAAGATTATACATTTGAAAAGCTAGCTAATCAATTGCCAGATTCCTTTGCTGACCCAAAGAAAGTTACAAAAACGTACATACCAGCTTGTAATGCACCAGTACGTATTGATATCCAAAAGGGAATCAATGAAATTGCTACCGAGTCTAACACACGAAAGAAACGTGGTAGACCAATAGGTTC